ACTAAAAGGGTACTCAGGTCAAAGCAGACACACATTTTTGGAAAAGAGGAAGAATACTTCCTACAGCACCACCCCAAACAAGAGGCAGAGCTGAGGGCCTCAGCTGTCCAAAGTAGCGTGTGGGCAGTTACAACATATGCCCTCTTGTTATGCATCCACTTCAAAGAATTCTGACTTAAATCAATGTGGCTTTTAAAAATAGTGTACCCTGTTCAATGTAACATTTAAAGGTCTTCAGAAATAAATTCTGAGTGCTTTCATCGTTATTTAAGGATAATTTGCAGAGATGGCCGAAAATTGTGTGTACTTGGACTAGCTGATTTTCTGCTCGGTTGCATCCTGAGGGAGAATTAACCTTTTCTCTCTCAAATTGTCTACAAAGCTCAAGGAATGAGTTCAGATCTCCCTGTGGCCTTTCCTTTCCTGCTAGGAGTGGCATTTTTTCCAGGGGTCTGTTCCTAGTCCCACTGTGTCCCCAAATGTGAATGTCCTGAAATTCAGAGCGATTCAAAGCAACGCCACGATCTGAACAGATATATGATGTACCTCTGCTGTTATGCTTAATTAACTTAGGACATTCTAGGCTTTCTCTCCAAGCATCAGTCTTCCTTTCTCCCATGGATACTGTGAAGTCCCGCAGTGAACCTTATTGTTATGACCTAATTTTTCTACAGACTGAGAGATTTAATTTGTTCAGGTGCCAGGCAAAGGGAACACGAACTCGGAATTCTCCTGGCTACTCTAATTTAGCTGCCTGAGATTTAAAAAAATCAATAGGGGAATTATCTTGCTGTCTCTAGATTGTAACAATAATTCAAACATAATTAAAAGGATGACATCGGCTTATGTAGGAAAACTGTGTCTTTTTCTGCAGGCCCACCCCAGAACTTGTATCCTGCTGAGTTCAGACCGTGGAGCTGGGATTGATTCCTCTTGCTAGGGAAACCCTCTCTTGTTGAAAGAGCTGCTGTCATGGTTTAGTTCTAAAACTAACTGAATAACTCTTGAAAATAATATTAATTCCTAACTGCATTTTCAGATGATTCTGATATTTTACTAATCTGTCCTTTTCAGATTCATTATTATTAGCACTTAATATCAGATAGTTTCTTCAGAGATTCCAGTCTGGTCTAATGAATACCTTTCAAGAAGTTAACAGTAATTATATATACATCCTCTATATAAATATATACACATATATATGTCCATCATGTCTATAATATTGATGTATACAAAAACTTGTGTCATCAGTAAATCTGAGGAGCTTCTCACTGAAATTATGTCAGCAGTTATAATTAATATACTCATAATTCATTCATTGGCACTAGGAGAATTTCATATTTAACATCTTAGTGCTTCCTAGTTGAGCAGTGAACATCCTTGTTCCCTGAATCCTATCACATGGATTCCTTTAACAGGCCTGACAAGATACAAACATAAATTCCTGCAAGTCTGTACAAGTGACAAACAGTGAGCAGTTCATTATCTTACAAATGCTTTATCACTTGCACAGTATGTGATTAGCTCTCATTGCATCCCATAGATAGATTCAATCAAAATAATGTACAAACATATGACTACAGATCTACATACATCTTGCATTAAGTTGAAAATCCAACTGAAAGATAAACCTTTTGATAATTCTATATGCATTAAGTAATGTGGACTAAATTATAACTGTATGTCTGAAAAACCAAGTAACTTCACAGAAAGTCAGATTACCAAATGCACTGAATGTGCATGAAATGAAATATGTTAAAGTACTTAATTGGCAGATGAGAAAAATACAGAAGCCTTGCTTGAATCAGCTGGTCACAGCTGCTGTCCCATGAAGGACCATCCATTTCAAAAAACTGTATGCTAAGGCAAACCCAAGATACTTTGTTTTGGAAGTGGGAGTCTCTCTGAGAGCTTTCTACTTTCTTTTATTCTGAGGACCCCGAACCCATGATGCTGACATAATTTATTCCTTGGCTGACTGCCTAACTAGCATGTTACAATTCAACCCAAGTGCTGCCTTTCAATGAACAAGAGCCATTCTTGACATTCTCAGCATTCTCTTGACAAAATGATCATCTATGAAATTAATCTCTTTCATGCTACTTTTTTCCTCAACCTTTCCCCAGTTGTTAACTAGTAAAATCTCTGCTGGTTCACATAAATACCAGCTTAAATGACTTAGTATAACAATTTTGTGGTGCTCAAACATTTATTTTGTCTGGACAATTTCATTCCTTTTCAGTGGCCCACCTTTGTTCAGATCAATGTGCTGACGAGGGTTTTCCACTAGGACTGTTAGAGACAACTATTGTTACTCCCATTTCCTGCTGAAAGACCTAAATGAAAAGTTTACACATGTTCAGCTTGCTTTTGCTAACAGAAAATAGGAACAAATTACCAGGGAATGAAATGGAGTATTTCATTTTACGTTCCCTAAGTGAAGATGTTGCCAAAATTCTATAATTCTATAGTGCTTTCAAGGAAACCTGACTAGAGACTGCCCTGGTGAGAGTAGCTGGCAGAAGCTCAGCCCATGTGTTTGCAAAGCATTTGTTACTAGGCACATCATGACAAATGGACCAAACTTTGCCCTCTTATCCACATCTATGCCTCTCATAGGAACATGGAAAGAAACTAATTTGTGAGCAGTATTTGACCCTTGGAGAACTACACTCATCTGCTTACCGCCATTTTTCCACATAAAATCACTTTTCAGCAATATGATTTAGCATGTGTTTAATTTTAATGATTTGTCTTAAGTGTCTTTTTGAGTGCTTTATCAAGCTACAGCAATCATCAGCTGCTTAATAAATATTGGATTAAAGTCTGTAAAGGGAACTACCACATGTATCAGAAAGACAAAAATGAAAGGATGTTGCCAGACACTGCAGCTTTTCTCTTTGCAATGCACTACTGTGTTCTTTGGGCTGAAGGACATTTTTCAATGATGCTGGAAATTGCAATAGGAAAGTCTAACAGGAACTGTAATTCTGGCAGTTTTCTGGACTTATACAGTGTAACCTCCCCAGAATTTAATGCTGTTAGATAAAACTACAGAAGCAAAATTATGAGCCCCAAATACACATTAATAGTAGTTGGAATTTAGCAATAGTTTTGGGTATGTGCTGAAATGAGAAATCTGGGCTTTGAATGGGTGGGCGTTTGACAGGATATTAGCAGAATAAATGTTCACTAATGCATAGCAATAAATGGGTTGGATTTTTAAAATGATCACAACAATAGCAGAGAAAATAATGAAGAAAAACTTAGAGTTTTTAAAGCACTCCCATGTGTCAATATATTGTTTCATTACAAACAACTTTAAATGGTTGTATTCCTGTGCACAATTAAAAACCCTCCAGTGGTCAGCAGAAATTCTTTTGGCACAGCACTGACTATAGTAAGTGCCACTAATAGTGACCTGTTGATTTACATAGCCTTAAAATTTGGGGCAGCCCTGCCCAGCTGGATTATTTGGCTTAATTTCCATCACTCTGGGTCTCTGGACTCGCTTCCTCTCAACAGGCAGCAGCACTGAACCTTCTGTGGTCCCCACTGCCCACTGCTTGGGCATGGAATCTGTCTGCTAGCCTTTGGGATCTCAGTGCTCAGGTACCTTCAGCTCCCAGGAGCAGGACCAGCTCTCCCAGATTTTTCAGTGAAACACGGCCTTTCCAGGCTGTTCGACATCAGAGCAAACACTCAGATTTGGGGAAAAAGAAAATATCACTAGGCTTTGATACTCTCCTTCGTGTAAGTGTTGAGCGATACGTAGCATAGTCCTAACAGCCCATTGCTGACTCCGTGTCCACCGAGACCTTCAGTGATTTATCAGTTTCATAACCTCAGCCACAATTCATATGATGTACTACAAAGATCCCTCAGCAGGACTCAACAGATTCATTTTTCTTTTCATCCTCGTAGCCACCCCACACATTTGTTGTTCTTCCCATAGCTAGACAACAAAACCCAAACACCTTTCTTATGACCAACTGGAGACAATCTGAAGTTTTAAAGTTTAAATAATTAATCAATAAAATTTATATATAATCTGCATAACCTGCAATTATAAGTACTACAAGTATGTGAGGCTATTTTTTTTCAAGCACAGGGTCAGCTCAAACTCCCTGCAGTCACACTCTCTCCACGTACACACCAGTGCTTAGCTTGGCATGACCGTGGATCGGGAGGGAGGAAAGCCTGTAGCCATGTGTACCCTCACCTGAGGCACACTGGCAGGACAGGGCTGCTGCACCCAGTTCTGTCCTGGGCGTGCAGCTTCTGTATTGGATCTAAAGGCTTAGGCAGTTATCAAATAGCACTGCAGTGTAGTTCTCAGAAAGCACTGTTTACCATTACCAACAGACTCACAGTAGTTCTACGTCACAGCGCAGGCTCAGCCCGTTTGAGTTTCCCAGTACTGAAAATATTAAACTACTATTTCTGTTCATAGGTACTGTAAAACAATAATAATTTTTTTTTTCCTTTCACTTTTTTTCCCTTAGAAAACTTAAAGCCCCTGAGTTAAAGACAGGGCAATATCCAGTCCATCATTACTGACATGAACCACACTTGTGTTCTTTGGTTGGTGTAGCTGCTTACTCTGGCTCACGGGGACACATTTATAGATGTATGTATGTACATGCCCACAACTTCCCATGAGGTATGATTTCTCCTCCAACATAATGCTAGAAATGTAAAGAGAATTACTTAATTGCAAGAATAGCTTGAACATCCAGTAAAGATTTTTAAGCATTTTGCTTTATTATTGCTCTTCTTAATATCAAGGTAAACAATATTTGATACCTGCATTACAACTTGCTCAAACACAAATTGATACAGATACAACTGAGAACTTTAACTTCCCAACATTTCAGTGATGACAGTTACATGTTATGAAAAATTACTTACTGCTATATTTGATACTAAATATCAACAAGTAATATCAGTTTAAGCAGTAGGACTCTATCACTGTCTCTAAGAATATTGCCATAGTAGGCCTATTTGCGTGGGTTCTGAATAACGATCAGGAGATAGTCCTTATCTGCAAACAGACATAAAAATGTTTAGTTAAAACATTTTATCTTATTTCATGATAAATACTCTTTATTCATCTATTCCTTTCCAACTTTTTGTTTATAAACACAAACAAAAGCAATGGCATTTATATAAAAAACAAAACATTCAGAAAATGTAAGCATTTTGTCAAAAGTCTGAGATTACAGATTGAAAGAATGACCTGTGTGATAAAGCTTAACTATACCATAATAAAACTGTTTTAGTAAGCAGAAGATTTGCTTTCCAAAGGCTGCCCAGATATTTAAACAAGATGAAAGAAGTCACAAGATAAGCACCTGGAAGCTAGCACTTGTTCTAATAAAAATCGTTTGACATCTGCAGCCTCTTCTGCAGGTGCAGAGAACTTCTTTCAGTTCACTAACTACTTTATTCAAAATTGAGAACCCCATTTAGACATGAAAAAAGCTGAAAAGATTTGAATAGACTTCTACTATGAATAAACTCTAAGCATGCCAGACTTTGCCTACTAATTCTAAAAGCCCAGGGAAGTTTTGGAAACAATTCAGTTGGCAGCTATTTAACATTATCTATTTTAAATGAAACATTTCTCAGAAGTATCCAGTGAATTTAGTAGGGTCATATCTGCTTTGGAGAGTTATGAAGCTGCACTCCTGCATTGTCACTTCCATCCAAAAGCAGCTTAATATAAATCACAGGTGGTTCATTTGCCACCTTCTGTTATAGTAAAATACAGTCAAACCTTTGAAGAACTAGTCTCCCTGTTAGCAAAAAAGCTTTACATTTTAGACCAGTTATTTTCAGGCCACCATGCTTTAATACTTACTAGTTGAAACGTCACCTTGAAAAAAAATAAATGAAGGGCAAATGCAAAATAAGAATCAAGTGCATCAGTTTAAATTAGGGACCAAAAAATAATGATTTAAAAAAATACATCAGGTTTGTCCTCCAAAACAGAAACTAAACTAAAATTTTAGTCTTACTGTCCACTGATGGCTGTTGTTAACACTTAATGACCACGCCAGATTCCTTTCACACATACTGGTTTCACAGCAGCAGTATGTGGTAGGAAAGTAATATAACACACACCTAGTGCAGTACCTGTGCTCTACATCTGCTATGGAACCAGCCTCCAATGAGCCCCCCAGCATAGGCTGTCCACACTCAGAGCCAAGGTCCTCCCCAACTACTCTGCTGAGGAAATTCCCAAATCCCCCTTTCTGTTCTGTGTGCCTTCCTCATGTCAAAATCCTGCCCAGTTTTCTTTTGTGAAAACCCACAGAAACCAGAACATTAATCAGATCTGGACTTGTTCAGTTGTCTCCAAGCTTCAATACTATAAACTCTGTATGTTAAAATCCTAACACGTCTGGTTGCATTGTTATATAGTTATATTTTCACAGACTTATTTCAAAATACATTATCTATGGTAGCCTCAACTGTGAAAAATTAAAAGAAACTTAAAAGGACATACAATTATGTTGTTATTTTCATAGAAATACTACCTGGAGCAACCAGGATTTCATGTTTCTTTGATCTGATCCTAAGGAAGGTTAGGTCGTTCTGCGGATCAATATCTCTCACTGCGCTCCTGGCTTTCCTGGTGAGCTCACGAAGAAGACCTGCATACTGCACTGTTGTAGAGTTATCCAGAGTCGTTCTGACTGGAATTCCTGCAAACAAATAGCTTTCTAACAATCATTTAGTTACATTGCATACTCTTCATATACAGCAGATCATAAGAGAAAACACAAGGACTTAATAATTTTTCCTGTTTTATAGCAGAAAGGAGTTATGTTGATTTCAGGTATCTGTATGGTTTTCAAAGTGTAATTTATATTAATCAGTGGCAATTAAACATTGAGTTGCCTTATGAAACTTTTGAAAGAGCCTAATTGCTGCTTAAGGCTCTTAAATAACTATCAAATTCCATTCTGTAGTACTTAACCAATTATCGTGTTTCATCAGTTTAAACACTCTCACCAAATTTGTTATCTTGGCTCCAAGAATCTAGCCCACACTTAATGGAAGCGTTTGGCACATGCAGCAATGGAAATGACACGTTCCAGGTGAAATACCAAGAGCAATAAAAGGGCAGAAGTGACATGTTTGCATATGGCAAGAAAAAACACCCTTGGAACAATCCCTTCCAAAATATTGACAAAATATTGGTAGTACAAACTTTGTTTATGCCCATGTAAGTCAAGATTTATTCTTGATGATCTAATGAATCGTGGTTTATCAATGATTTCTAAAATTATGCTTTTTATATTAATAGGTTACCAGGTGAAAATAAACCCAGGGTTCACACTGATACCACAAGTGTGAAAATGTTTTGCTTTATTAAGCTTGTGTCACTAATAAAAAAATTATTTGACCTACTAAGAAAGAAAACAGATGACAAGCTGGCAAGGTTGTTTTCTCTTTGCATACACTTGTGTTTTCCAGATGGACAGGAATGCAAAAATAGAGTAATACAACTTAAGTTGAAGAGTTGAATTGATACATGAAAGTAGTGAGTGTTAGATAAATTAGAGGCAAGGGAGTAAAAGAAATAATAGAATCTCCTCAGGTATTAGACTGTTCCATAATTTTCCTAGGAAATCATTATTTGAATCACTTGAAATCTGTGCTGTCACTTAAGAAATAATTCTGGCTCAGTAGGATGTGTAGTGCAGAGCACTGTACGGAGTGACCCCGTGCATCCTTTGTGTCCGATGTTTATTAGACAGAGATTGGAACTGATGCTTTAATGGAGACAAACAGGTGTTCCCAAGCACTGCATTAGCCCGAGAATATCCAGATAATCACAGCACTAAATATAAGTCACTTAAAAGCAGCAATGAATTAGTGTCAAGTTTATATGACCTTGTATCTAAATGATCGCTTCAACAAATACAGCACTTTTAATGAAAATGGTAAATGTTAAATGATCCTCCAAGGTCTAATAATAACATGAAAATGAGTTGACACTACTGACATCCGTAGATTAAAGCTGAGCTATGCTTACTTTAGGAAATTCTCTTTGCCTCTGCCACCCAAATTAGAGAAAGGCAAATAAATCCTTCATTAGAAATGCTGTAGTGTGATCCTTCTCAGCTGTGAAGGACAGCAGCAGTTTATAAGATTTCTTAGATAAACAAGGTACACTTAGCATAGGTTTCAATGAACAAATCAACTTTGAACATTAAAATAAATGTCAGGCAGTGATTGTATCAGGAATCTTTAATTTGATATTTCACCTGCACACTATTACACCTATATGTACCTACACTGATACAAAAATCATAGCAAAAGACAACTGTTTATATTAGTGAAAAACAGTGTTTCATCTTTTTAGGGAACCTGAACAGCCTCAGAAACCTCACTACAACACTACTGGTTCAGGTATTTTACTGTGATTAATTTAAGCCATACACTTGTTTGAAGTGTTTCAGGATAGAAAGAAATTAAATATAATTTTCTACAGAAATATTAGAAGTCATTAGACTGACCAGTGCTAATGACAGATATTTGGAGATGTTACAAAACTTTACAACTACACACCTAGTTTGAGGTTTAGTTTGTGGAACTTAAGTTCTTGGTACCTTGAACACATCCCGATGGGAGTACAGACTTTTGTATTCACATCTGGCATTGAAACATTTCTAAATTATAAACTAAAATCAAAATTCCTGCACTAGTCTTGCCTGTTGGCTTCAGTCTGTCCACGTGTTCTACACATTTGTGAATGTGAGGAAGTTTGAACAGGAATGGGAATAGCTTAATCCTTACAAGTGAAGGTCAACAAGTGAAGGGAGCTGTTGTTTGTTGTGAAGGAATGATTAAAACAGGTTAACCTGAGAAGCCCAGCTTCTGAAAACTGATTTCTGTCACCAGTTTTGCTTTTGGCTTGCCATCTTCAGGATCCCAGCCACAGCTGGCCTGACAGAAAACTTGTTCTTCCTCCTGTGACAACACATACAACTTAAAGAAATTGTGAATATTTAGCAGGGCCAAGGAATGGCTTCCACAGCAGAAGACCAGCTTTGTTTAGTAGACACTTTTCTCCTGCTGCTTCTGTTCTATTATGGCTTTGCAGAGGAGGAGGGGGAAGTGAAGCACTAGTATATTTTTCCTGCGCGTACAAAGAATTTTGGACTGAAAAATTGCCTTCAAAAGCAACAGCATAGTGCCACATGTTCTCCCTTTCTGTAACCTACCAAGAAATGATACTATGATACTTCTAGTTATTTCTTCAGAGAAGACTTAGGTCAAGGCTTTTGACCTTTCTGCTCTCCAATAACTTGAATGAAAAACTAGATTGTAAGGAGAGCTTCAAAAAATGGCTACAAACCAAATGTTCATGTTTTAAGATTAAAAATGTGATCTTGAAAATCATGACATCTTCATGAAGCATTGCAAGTGGATTAACACCTCCTTCACACTCGGCAGCGTGGCACTCAAGAGTTGCTAGGCTCCATGCCACTACCGGCTTTGTTACTTGGAACACGCAGAGGCTGTTTTACCTTCGGCGTTTATAACCATGGTCGCGATAACCCCTTGCTGGGCCTGGATCCTCTTTAGGGTCTCCTCCACTTCAGCCTGTGAGGAGAGAGGACAGCAGAGGACAGTGG